TTCAGAGTGCTGAAGAGCAATGATGTCATTTTAGGGACCAAGGTATGCCTGACTCAGCTCATGGTCTTTCCAATTTCTTGCTAGGAATCTGAGAGTGGGACAATGAATAGGGATGACAGAAGAATCCATGCCTCTGAGTTGTGGTGCTGAAGAGTGTTCAACACACCCTGGACTGCCAGGAGAACAAACAGGTCTACCCTGGAGAGAGTGAAATCAGGGTGCTCCTCGGAAGCAGAGATTTTGAAAGTCCATCTCTCCTATTTTGGGCATTCTGTCAGGAGGAAGCAGTCCTTGTAGAAGGACATCATGCTTGAAAGAGTGCAAAAACAGTGCAGGAGAGGAAGACCCTGGATGAGGCGGATTGACACAGTGTGACTGTGGCAATGGGGCAGGTGTGTCAGAGACGGTAACACTGGCTCGGAATAGGACAAGGTTCAGAGCTGTTCTTCACAGGGTCACTGAGAATCACAGTCGACGGCATGAAACAACATATAATTTAAAAATATGTTAACTGGTCTGCACGTGTATATATTCCTATCACTGTAGTAATTACAGCCTCCAGACTGACAGTCAATGAGCTGCAATTGGATAGTTACGGGTTTGAGGCTGAGGTTTGGGAAAACTGAAAATGACGGTTACAGGGTACAGTGTTTCCTTTTGAGACTAAGGCAGTCTCTTGAATTACACACTAAACGAGTTGTGTGGTACGCGACCTGTATGGCAGTAATAAAAATGTTATGATGAATAAATCAAAGGGGTCAAGTCTAGCTCCTCCTAGCCCGTGGGAGAGCTCACGAGGTCACTCAGATCAGGCGACTCTGGGCAGCACCAGGTGAAAAGTAGCGGCCAGAAGACGTGAGCACTACAGTTGGCGCTCAGAGACTTCCCATGGGACCTCAGTCCACTACAGGCCAGGCTGGCCTCTCAAAGACCCAGAGATGAGAAGCCCAGCCAGGTAAGGGTGCCTGGGCCCCCAAATGGAATGGGAGGGTCACTCTTCTGGCCCATAGCTCACAGACCACACACTCATCTACTCAGTCACCTTATATCCTTTCAAAACATGACAGCTGGGATGTGGGAAGGACCCTCACATCACAACCATCCCAGAACTGCGTGCTTTCTCGTTCCTTCAGCTTCTCACTGCTGTGAGGCCTGGAGAGCGGCCACCATGTCCCTCCATCTATGGCTGGTGGCAGGGGGCTGTGGTGGGAGAGGTCAAGCAGAAATCCTTGCTCTACTAGGGCCAGAAGACAGGGCAGGTGGCACAGGCCAAATGTGGGCTCCGAGGGTCAAAGCGGAGGCCCAACATGAGGGGGAAGAGGGCTGAACCACCAGATCGGCACAGCCAGTCCCTGGACCTGGGCCTCTGGGCTGCAGCACCAACCAGAGCAAGAGAGCCCTGTCTCGGGCTGTGGGAGGGGCTGGGGTTCCTATTCCACTCAGCTCCCCTGGCCCAGGGCTGAAGTGACCACACAGCCTCAACTCCTGGACAGAGGGACAGACTGATGACAGGCCTAGAAATTAGCAGCTTGTGTCCTTCAGTCTCTCCCCCAGCCCCCCGCTGCACACCATAGTGGGTTCGTGGGGTCCAGGGGCTGTCCTCTAAACCAGGACCCCCCTACACCCCACACTGGCCGTGTGTGGTGCTGGAAGCTGTCCTCTTAACCAGGGCTCAGTACACCCCATACTGCGTTCAGAGTGTTGAGAAAGTATTAAACGAGGGCCCTACCTCACAATGGGGTGCTGAGACTGGTGTGGAGGCCCACACTGCAGACAGGAGTGCTGGGGCACAAGGATTTAGTGCTCACAGTACAGATGGGGGTGAGGTGTTGGGGTGCAGAGCCCACAATGCAGACAGGCAATGGTGCCGGGGGCCGGAAATGTGGAGTCCACAGTGCAGACAGGAGGGGTTGCTGGGT